AGAGGTGGTCCTGGGGGGGGGGGCGCAGCTCTTCCAGTAGAGAGCCTAGACAAAGGTGGGGTCCATTTGTAGGAGTTAGCTTGCTGGGTGTAAACGCTGGTTCTTCGAAGAGAGATGTCCATGCTATACTTTCAGAGTCAGGGTGAAAGCCTACAGTGGGCACAAAAAAAGCCCTTTCAGGATAGGACTATAAATAAACCAGTCTGACTCTGGGGACAATGCACAGTAGCACTTTCAAGAAGTTCTCAGAAAGAGGACTACATTACCTCCAGGGTGATAGTCAGACCTGAGAGTAGACCAGGGAAGCTCCAGTCCAGAGAAAGAGTCCCAAAATATGACAGCTGTGTCCCTATGGTAAGAGCCACCCCAAACGGGGGCCCAGATCATAGGAATCAGCCCTTTGCCTTGTCATTCACCGTGAAAAATACAGAGTAGCAATTTTTAGAGGTCCCGTTTGTGCACTGGGTTGCTCCACATTTAGGTTCTATGTGTAATCTGAGAGTAGACTGCCAAGGCCCACTCCATGTAGAACAGTCTGTCATCCTATGGGTCGAAACCCCTCTTGAGTTGCATATCAGATATTTGCATTGCAATTCACAGCAGTAGCAAAATTACAATCATGAAGTAGAAACAATGGGGTCACCACAACATGAGGAACTGTATTAAAGGGTTGCAGTATTGAGAAGGTTGAGAACTATTATGCTAGAGAGTACCCAAATTATAATTTAATGGATCCATTTAGAGGTTAAATCCAATTCTCCTCCCTTTCCTACAAGTCAATGCCTAGGAGCCCTTTAAGGAGATTCCCAAAGGGGAAGGGATCTGTCAGACAAGGTGAAAGCTGGGAGTTGGTTACAGAATCCCCACCCTAGTCAGGGCCAAATAATCAAGCAACACTGTATCCTTTTGAAAGTCTTGACACAAAACTAGGAAACCTGGTTTATGTGTTGGAATGAACCCCTCTATCTGCATGTAACATGTGCCATTTTGTAGCATTCCCTGAGGTTAGAGAACACCTCTATTGAGGGAATGAGTCCATACTTCTATGTCCATATCCAGGTGCTCTGGGAAGACTTAGAACCATTTTTTTTCAGGTTCCTGGAGGGGTAATACCCTCACCCTGCTTTCACGGTGTGGTAAGAGTTGCAAGTAGACTGCAAAGCCACCTTTCACAATAGAGGGACCCCAGTTAAAGTAGCTTCACCTCTATTGCCAAATGGGTACCAAACTGGGCTTTTGTAGGAATCAGCCCCTTGTGCAGCCCCACTTGCAACCCATGGATACTGTGGAGATATTATTTTTAGAGGATGTGGGAGTAATTGGTCACTTCCTGACTCAGGTGTAAACTGCCAGTGAATTTCAGATTATTACTAAAACAGACTAATTATTACTCTATATAGACAGCCTCCAGCTAATCAAGTTTCATCCCTTTGACTTACCTGAAACAAGCAGGAATCATTATTTGTGGTACTGTTACCCTGCCACATCAGGGGGCATCCAGGGACTTGGAGGACATATAACATTTTGTTCTTGGAGCTTGAAGGTTCCCTTTCAGAGTTAAGAGAGTTCAGGGTGACCTATAGAGTCTCCTTTCTGCATAGTTCCCAGATCATGCAGGTGCACTGCTATGATAATCCCTGCACTAAGTTGGGGTCTCACTTGAAAAAAATAGGAATGTGGGAATTGGTGTTTCCTGGGGGGCCTAGAAAAGACAAGACCCAGTTGCTTTCAGCCAGGGTGAACTGTGACAGTAGATAGAGGGCTCCAACTAATTAAGTTCCATATCTATTAGAACTCCCTGCAACAGGAGTGGAAGCAACTTGCAGGGTTAGCACTTTCTGGCTTTTACTTATATAATTCTGGGGATGGGGAGATAGCTCAGTGGTTAAGAGCACCTTTCTGATCTTGCAAGTTTGATTCTTACCACCCACACGGTGGTTCACAACTCCATTTCCAGGGGATGTGTTGCCCTTTTCTGACTTCTGTGAGCACCAGGTACACATGTGTTGCATATAAGTGCATGTGCAGGCAAAACACTCATATACATAAAATATAAAGAATTCTGGTGGTCAAAATCCAGTTCTCAGGGCAACCGAACAAAAAGGACCAGCAGGGCCTTGTGGGAGGTCAAGGAGAAAGCTGTAGTGTGACTTCTGAAGTACTGTTCCAGATGAAGGCATCCCAAATAATCAAGCTTTACCCCCATTTTCCCAAGTGAGCCCAATCAAGAGGGCTGAGCTCCAAGCCAGACAAAATCCCAGCATAAAGTGTAGTATGTAAGTTCTACCCATAGCTGAGGACTTATTGATAATTGATTACCATTGGGAGAGACTTGGTTTTCTTTAAGGGTGCAGCCTCTAATCAGTGCTTCAATTGATGCTCAAGTCTTCAAGAATATACATTAAAAATTGAACTCAATGGGCCAAAAGTTATGAGAGTACAAGATCTGGTGGATATGGAAGTGACTTAATCTATGAGAATTTGGGGAAGGGGTTGAATACGATAAAATGCAATGTATGAAATTATCCAAGCGTTAGTGAAATACTTCTAAAAAGATGATATATATTCCCCATACTCATTCCAGGTACTCTTTGAATCAAGGTAAGACTTTATGCCTAGACAAAGCAACTCAAATCAATGCATCTCTCTTGACCATTTATACCAAATGGGCAAGGGCACTGGTAGGAATGAGCCTCTGTCCTCCAAGAGGACTCTGATTCAGATCATTTTTTTTTTCCTGAGGCAATTGCAGTAGAGAGGGTCCAGGCTCCATAAAGTGATATGATGAGATCCTGATGGTAAACTGAAGAGGTGCCACACTAGTGTTTATCTGTAAGTAGTCCTGTGTTACATGTGCTTAGACTAGTCAGGGGAGTGGCCTACTTTGACCTCAGACCTAAGGTCAGTGCCTTTTTCTGAGTCCATGGACAAAAGAAGTCTTTGGATACATTATCAGTCAAGGTAAAATCTGAGGGTTCAGTGAGGACACCACAGCCAAGATAGTACACATATAATTCAGATGAACATTTTCTGTCAGCTTTGTGATGCTCCACCCCATGGTGTACAGATGCACTTCATTGTCAGTTCTATCTCTGCTGTAGGAAGGTGAGCCTTCCCAGCTAAAAATATCATTAGAACGACAGAGGGAGCCACATAAACATTACCAGAGGAGGTGTCTAGCATTTATCAGTAATCTAGGTGAGTTATCATGGTGAGAACTAACGATATGAAGAGGTACAACACCCCTCCCCCCAAGAAAACCCCAAAGGACCTCATAATGCCTGGCCATTCCTATTAATGTTTCCTGGAGATCCCTGGGTGAGTGGGTGCTGTCTGTCCATTATGTTTCATGATTTGGAGTGGGACTTCTCTGGGAGGTGATGACTTTGATCATAAGAATGACACCAGGTCAGTTACCAAAGGGAGTCAATTGTGGTAAGCAGAGGGAGCAGTACCAGGAACAGCCAGATCCTAGATATGGACTTCTAGGGACTGTATGTGTACACAGCCTGGTCTGAGTGCATCAAACACTAAATTACATGCTTGCTTCTACCTTGGACAGGAAGGTAGGAGTCTTTACAAAGATAAGATCTTGTGTCATCTGGACATGAGGGGAGATGTCAGGAAGGACAAATCAGATGAATGAACCTCAGGTGGACGTAGAACAGTCCAGTCTCAGCAGAGATGATCCCAGGACCATCCACGCAGATGTGAAGGGATGTGGTACCTTCTCAGATGTCAAGCAGGTAAGGGACCTGACCAGAGTGGGTGACCTTAGTTGGAAACAGATTCCAGGAGGTTGTAAGGTCCAAGTAAAGACCCCCAGTGTATGATTTTAACGAAACCTATGTCCACAGTACAGACATGGACTTCACAAACACTCCTCACATACCTGACTTTCCTAGTCCTGAATCAGGCTATCAGTCTGAGCACCCTATTTTGTTTGCAGGTCACTGGTCTCAGGGAGCTGAAAGACCTGGTAAAAGGGAGTTTGACTGGGGTCATCAAAGGGAAGCTCTCAGGATTGTCAGGGTTCAAGGTGAGGACTGAAGAAATCCTGCCACCCAAACACATAAAACCCATCCCATACCTGCCCTCCTGTCAGCTGTGACAAAAGCCAGGAACCATGGATGAATTCCCTTATCTCATATCCTCTTACCTCTTTCTCACAGAAATAGGTTCCTGGCTTAAAAAAGTAGCCTCAGATCATCAAAGGAAGCAGTTCAGTCCTTGTCATTTATCAAGGTGAGTGTTGGGCAGGTTTCCCATCCCAGGACACATGGACCACATTGAATTGGACCATGTCTTGCAATTTAACCTGAACAGGTGTAGCCAGACATAAAGGGATCTTATTCCCTTTTATTCTGTTTCAGAGAAGTGGAAACATAAGGGTTTGCTACAGGCCAGCAGAAGGGTGGTGTCCAGCCCTTGACAAGGGAAAGCTGAGGGCCCAGAGTAAGCATAGAAGGCACCATTTACCTTAAGTCACACTTCCTATGAAGAATGGAAACTTAGTTTCAAAATAACATTTTGCAGCTGTAGGATGTTGTAAGCATCCTAGAGTGCAGGAGATGAAAGTCTTGGTCTGAGACAGTGTCTTCAGTTCCTCTCCAAAAGCAAGGTTATGCAGCCTTGGAAGTTAGGGGGAACTACACACTGAAAGTATACATCAAGGGTTCCAACTACCAAAAATATAGACATTACACATTTTCAGGCCCCAAATAATCTGATAGCAGCTCTTGGGGCTCATGCTCTGACCTGGCTGCACCTCAGATAGCTTACGTTCTTCCTCTTTTAGCCTCTCAGGGTTCTAAGACTTGTAAAAGTCCTTGTGATCCTAGAGTACCACAACATGACTATTTGAGAGCTGCAAGAGAATGGCTGCTGCCAGTGGTGTCCACTCACCTTCATCCTCTCCCTCTTCTTTTCCACCAGGCCTGGGAATCCCAATTGTTCTGACTTGGACACTATCCTGCCTGCTATTACCAAGAAAAGTCACAATGGATGATTGCCATAACATTCACATTCATCACTGCAACCTCCTAGCCAGTCCTCCATCCCAAAGGGAAGTAGACAATGCCCAGGTCTTCATGGTTGTGGCAAAGGATGAGGAAGCCATCACTACCACCTCAAAAAATATATATGATAGTGGAACACCAGGTTCTCCCCAGAGGCCTCAGAGAGCCTGCTCTCCCTTTATGGTCATGGGCCCCATTACTGAGTGCCCATCTGATGAGGCTTCTGGCAACCAAATAGAGGAGCTGGAAGAGCCCATGCCATTGTTACACAATACACTAAATATAAAGGTATTTGACCTGGTGCACTTTCTGCTTTTCAAATATGAAATGAAGGCTTTTACCACCAAGTCAGAAATGCTGGAGAGCATTGTTAGAGAGTATGAGGAGTATCACCCTGTGATCTTTAGTGAGGCCTCAGAGTGCTTAAGACTTGTGTTTGGTATTGGCATAATAGAAATGGACCCTTTTGTCCAATCCTATATCCTTGTCACTGCCCTGGGGATAACCTATGAGGGGATACTAAGTGATGCCCAGGGTAAGTCCAAAACTGGCCTCTTAATAGTCATACTGGGTGTCATTTTTCTGCAGGGAAACTGTGTCAGTGAGGAGATGATCTGGAGAATGCTGAATAACATAGGGTTTTGTGATTGGAGGAATCCTTTCCTATATGAAAACCCCAGAAAGCTCATCACTGAGCATTTTGTGCAGGAAGGGTACTTGGAGTACAGGCAGGTTCCAGACAGTTATCCTCCTAGCCACGAGTTCCTGTGGGGCCCAAGGGCCTTTGCCGAAACCACCAAGGTGAAAATCTTGGAGTTTTTTGCCAGCATTACTAAAAGTAATCCCAGATTCTACTCTGAAAAATATGCAGAGGCTTTGTGGGATGAGTTACACAGGGCCTAGGCCAGAATTGTCCAGCAGATCTAAATACTGCCCTGACTAGCACACATTCTACTGAATTGACAATTTCCAACCAACACTAGGTCAGGCAGAGTCTATAATCCAAGTTCTATACTCTCCTTCTGGAGTTGGAAAGTATGAACCATTCTACTCTCACTGTTCTGTTTGGGTGACTTTAGGATTCTTGATATTCCAAAATGTTAATACACTAACTAACAGATTTTTTAGTTCTAAGTTTACAAATGTCATTAGTAATACATGTGTTGTTGATCCTGGTTATAAAAAATTACTATTTTAAAAACAAATGACAATGACTTCTATCTTAATTTGTAATAGTCACAAGATAACATTGAAATTGGAATTTCCTGGGCAGTTGAAAAAGAACTTGGCATTAACTTGAACAACAATAATAAAATTAAGTTTTGATTGTCTTACAATGTTTATTCACTCATTCTGGCTAACTAATTAAACTTTAAAAAGGTAAATAAAGTTTTTACCCAAAACCCTTCAGTGAGCACCTTTTCTTTGCAAAGTACTGTGTTAGCAGTGGGAAACAGAAACCAGATCTCTTCTCACCCATGGAAAAGTGGGACATAGTAGAAGCCTGGACTACTACTCCCTGTACACAGGATGAGGGCAGGATACACAGCCCCGTCAGGAATACAGTGAAAAGTTCTTTCAGACTATGAGCACAGGTACAGTGGGTCTCCTAGGCAAGCATCCAATGCAGCCCAGTGTTGCAAACCAAGACATTTTGGGAGTCATAAATCACATGACAGCTCACAGGGTTTGTTTCTACTATTCTATAGAATCTGATCCCAGATTGTGACCACCACAGGGTCCAGGCATGCATGAAGTATAAATGTAGATAAACACACTCATTAACTGAGAAGAGGATATTAGCTGTTAAGCAAATAGTAAGCAAGCTAGCAACCCACAGATCAAGAGGTTAGGTAAAGAGGAGGACACTAGGGGAGATTCATAGACCTCTATGGAAAGGGGAAATAGAATGAATTTTGTGGGTGGCCTGGGAGCTGATAGGGACAGGAGTTTGGGGAATCAGGTGGGGGGAGGTATGGGGGGGAAAGAGTGCAGGGAGGGACAACTGGAATTGAGAAGCATTGGGAGTGTATGGAACCTAGTGCAGTGGAAACTTCATGTGATCTATGAAGGTGACCCTAGTGAGTACTCCTAGTAATGGAGGATATGGAGTTTGAAGTGGCATTCTTTTGTAGCCAGGCAAGATTTGCAGTGTTGGGACTGGATTGCATTTGGTTGAGTTGTTGACCAAGGGTGTCACAGGCTGATGGTAAGACAGAGGGTCATTTTCTGAAAATTAACAGTGGGCTCTGATTGCTGAGGACATCCACAAAACTCAGCTTAGAGAGGTTAAGATGGTGCCTGCATGGAGCCTTCACCCCTAAGGTCTAGTTTCCTTGGTGCAGGAAGGTACTATGCAGGTTATGGGAAGAGAAGCCTAGCCCTCAACCCAGCCACAAAACCCTCTACCTATAATCTTTCCTGGCTGCAAGATATGCTGAAGCAATGGTGGTGTAGAACTTGTTGTAGTGGCCAAACAATGTGCCTTTTAAATTGAGACCCACAATCCGCAATGGAGCCCACACCCTAGATGGCCAGAAACCAGAGACTGGATAGCACAGAGGTACTTAAGGTAGAACCAAACATGGCTGGCAAAAAAAAAAAAAAAAAAACTAAATGATTCCTAATGGTATTCTGTTATATTCATAAACCAGTGCCTTGTACAGTTGTCATCAGAGAGGTTTCATCCAACAACAGATGAGAGTAGGTGCAGAGACCCACAGCCGGACATTATGTAGAGACTGAGCTTAAATTGGAGGTCTCTTTTAGGTCTCTCCCCTCAGAGATCAGGGAGCTCCATGGAAAAATGAGAAGAAAGATTCTAGGAATGAGAGGACACTTGGAGAACATGGCCCACTGAATCAACTAAGCAGGGCTCACCTGAACTTAAGGACTGAAATGGCAAACACAGGGCTGCATGGGTCTATTCCACATCCTCTGAGTATATGTTATAGCTGTTAACTTAGTGCTGTGAGACTCCTAACAATGGGAGTGGGTGTATCTCTGACTCTTGCCTGCTCTTATGACTCTTTCTTCTATTGGGTTGCCTTGTCCAGTAATGATATGAGGGTTTTGCCATGTCTTATTGATTTTTATTTAGTCATGTTTGACTGTTGTTTCTTGGAAGATTGCTCTTTTCTGAAGCGGAAACAGGGAGAGTGGATGTGTAAGAGAAGGGAGGTGATGGATTAGCTGGAAGGAATAGAGGGAGGAGAAGCTGTAGCTGGGATATATTATATGAAAGTAGAATCTATTTTCAAATAAAAAATGTTAGGCTGTATAAATTGGAAATAAATTTTGGAGAAAGATTCAAACCTTGAAGTTTATCTAAAAATTTCCAGGACTGTACTAAGTTGTGGATTACATATTGAGTTAGTGTACAGCAAACAATGATAAACTTATAAAAACTATTTATTATGTATTTATCTTTTTTGAAATATACTATTTAAAAGTAAAAAAAATATTGATAATGCTTCGAATCCCCCTTGACAGCGCCCCTTACCAGCAGGAAGTAGTTTGGAAAGAACAACGCCCAAATTCCCAAATATTGTCTATAAATGTTTGTTTTCATTTAAATGGACTTGGTTATATAAAATAAATAAATAAAAATTAAAAAAAAACAGAACAAAACACATACAAAAATATTGATAATTATAATAATGGTACTGCATGTGTCAAACATAATAATTTGGGGATTGTCCATGGCTGGGTCCTAGGTAGCTGAGTGTCCAGATGCAGAATTTTCAACATAACAATTTGGGGATTGTCCATGGCTGGGTCCTAGGTAGCAGAAGTGTCCAGATGCGGAATTTTCTATTCAAGTTCAAACAATTACCTTTGTTACTGCCCTTTTATTCAGTCATGTCTCTCCTGTGCATGCCTATCCATGTCTGCTTCTTTTATTCTTGTCTGACCTTCCTGCTGCCTTTGAAAACTAGAAAGGTTGATCTGAATTTCTGCCTGCCCAACAGCAGGCATTCTCTAGTAAGATAAGTCCATGTAGAAACACATAGATCAATAAAAGTGGGTTAATAATTAAGCCAGAGATAGGCAATAAGAAGCCCTAGTCATCGGCCAGCAGATTTATAATTAATGTAAGTCTGTGAGTGTTTATTTGGGGGCTGAGTGGTGGTGAGACCCAGGCAGGCCAAGAAAGTCCTGAAACAGTCCTCCATTAAAAAGTGGGAGAAGAAATGGATTTTGTTTTTTGGCTGATGCAATAATAACCCTTAACAGGATGTGCTTGTAGACACGTAGAATATTTTTTTTTCTAGAAAAATGGAACTAATTTGTACACTTTTTTCATCAAAATATTTTATCTGGACATTGAGTACCATATATAGTCAGGCTTTGCCTTGGGCTTCCAGCTCACAAAAAAAAAAAAAAAAAATAAAAAAAAATAAAGACACGGAGACTTTTATTAATCACAAAAGCTTGGCCTTGGCTTAGGCTTCTTTCTAACTATCTCTTTTAAATTAAAACCCTTTCTATTCATTTACTTTCTGCCTCGTGCCTTTATTACCTCATCTCTTTATTGCCCATACTGCTTGATCTGTATCTCCTTGCAGCTGTGCCTTCTTCCAGGTACCCTCTCTGCCTAGAAATCCTGCCTAGCTATTCTAGCTATTGGTCATTCATCATTTTATTAAAGCAACCAGAGCGACACAACGTCATAGTGTACCCAAAGATTATCCCACAACAGTTGTCACCCAATAAACACTAGAACATAATGGCCACTATTTGTTGGGCATCCTTAGAGACCTCCAATTTAAACTCAGTCTCTCTTTTGAGGGACGTACCTGGTCTGCAGTCCAGAATACTCCTGATGTCCAGTCAGAGTGTGGCCATGAACTATGTATGCCACCAACCTGGTCCTACCTGTTAGCCAAGAGCCAGGAAGAGAGACCCCATCTGACACTTCTTCTGAGCCACTGGTGTATACAAGAGAGAGTTTGGCGAGTCAAGGTGACCAAGTGGGGACACAAAATCAATGCATCCAAGAGAGCCTCAGACCTGAAGAACAAAGCCATTGTACAGCCAATGAGGAAGGTGACGCCAACCTCCTCAGTCTATGCTTCCCCAGGAAGATCTGGACCATAGAGCAGAATGAGGCCTTCCAGTCTGTGAACTGGAGTGACAACGGACACAGCATCATGACTGAGGTAGACCTGTTTCAGAGAGAGGTCCTTCACCGCAGGGACACAGGAAAGGTTTTTGAAGCAGAAAGCCTGAATAGTTTCCTTCACCAGCTCTACCGGTATGGGTTCAGAAAGATCGCCAAAAGGATTCTGAGCTCCAGTCTGGAGAGAACAGGAAAACGATGATAAAGTACAAAGTTGTTCTTTGCCGCCACTATTGCTGATGAGCACATCTTCTTGTGTGCACACCCCAGGAGTGAAGTGCTTTAAGCTCCTCATTTGGCAGGGGATGTTGTTTACTGATAGGTGAAAGTAATAGACTTTGACATTAAACTCTAGGCTACCCCTTAGGTGTCGGCAGGCAGGCAGGCAGACAGGCAGCAGGCAGGCAGGCAGGCAGGCAGGCAGACAGGCAGCAGGCAGGCAGGCAGGCAGCAGGCAGGCCCTGAGAAGCCAGTTAGTGTCACATACATAGTCAACACCTTCACCTGTGACTCATTTCTCTTTCCTGGCTGGGGTCCTGGGCCAGCACATAACTCATCTTGCCTACAGCCCCAGTCATTTTCTCCATCACAAAAGATGACCAGTATAATGCAGAGGGGTGGTGTAGCTATATTACCAATTGGCCAACGAGTCCATTTTGTTTCAGATCTACCACAACGTCAACCCTCAGAGAGACAAACCAGAGCTCCTACAGAGTATCAGGAGGAACAAATTCTGAAACCTGTTTCTGGTGAGCGAAGCACAATCTCCAGTCACAAGTGC